GACCGGCAACCTGGGGCTTTGATCTATGCTATTAACAATTATTAACGAACAGGGGTGCGTCGGCCAAATGCCTCTGAGCGCGGACGAGGGGCCGGTGTCGCAGGGTCCGTCGCTGGCACGTCGGTCGCTTTATCATTCGAGGCACGCCAGGCATAATTTGATAAATTAGGTACACATAAGCGACGGCTGATCGCGGTTATTAGGTTGGGTACCCGCTACAACCTCCGACCTGCGCCATCGACCTTCGGCGTCGGGCCCTCCGTAGGGCCGCGCCCTGGTGGCGGAAGCGCACTCCGCCGACTTCGGACTAGTTGCTATGCCGCGAACACCCGCCAAATGGGATTATTATTATAGCCCACCCTACCAGCCATCACCCCCAACGAAAGGGGAATGTTAAAACGCCCAGGGACCCCGAGGACTCCGACAGCCTTCGCCGGGGAATTATTTTTCACCCAAACACGCGCTCCTTGAAGACGCCCCTCTATCCTGCGGAGACCCCCAAATGGAATTTTGGGAACGAAGAGAACCCACCTTCGGTTCGTCAACTGGGACCACTCATCTTTATTTTCCCAAGCAAATTACCCACCCCTGTGGCTCTCACCCCGGAAGGCTTTGATACGGTGGATTCAATACCTGTCGTTCCTCCCGTGTCTCCAGGTGTGATGTACACCCGGTGTTTCTGCGTGTGTTATCTACATACGGTTTTTATGCCGAGTCCACGCGGGAAATTTTTTTTATCTCGCGTTTAGATAGGACCTTTCCATGTGTGCCACCCGCACGGGATATTTTTGCGGGTGGTAGCCACACACGGGAGACCCACGCGAGGGGGTCTCCACCCACTTTGGAGGGGTCCTGCTTTGACGGGCCGCGGCCAACGGGGCGAGAAAATTCGACGTATTCCGTTTCACCGATACCGCGGGACGTTATCGGCCCTCTCGGTCCATGGAGGCGATACGGCGTGACAGGCCCGTTAATTGTCGGCTCGCCGGGGACGAAAGTTTATTTTCTTTATTTCGCCGACGTAGCCCGGCCCGGCCGGCGGTCGGTTGAAAAAATATTAACGCGCTTTCGCCGCCGGGGGGGGTGGCGGCGGGGCCGAATTAAAATTCATGGACCACTCGGCGGCGCGCGTCGCGAAAAGGCGGGAAAAACTCCCGGAAATCCCGGGGGCTTTTTTCCCCCGCCTAGGAACGTCCGTCGATCCTTCCTCCAGGGGATGGGAGCTATCGCAGAATTTTCCACATATTTTCAAAACGTTCTCCCCAGATCCTTTTCCCTTACCCTTCCACGTCCAAGATCTTTAGAGATGTAGCGGCGGGCAATAGTTCCTCCCTCTATTTCAAAGTCGCGGCATCAAACGAAACGACTAATCACCCGAAGCCCGTGGATTTGTCGCGTCGCAATTTTTCACCACTTCCGCCCGACTTTGCTCCCCGACGAAGACGCCCGGCGTCGCCGAATTAATCCGCGCGTCCATATTTATGCGGCCGTTGGGTACCCTCGAGTCGCCCAACAAGCTACGAGATAACCCAAACAATTTTTCCCCTTTAACGCTAAACCGCCTGTATAAATTTAGCCCCATTATCGCGGCGCTATAAAAAAAAAAACCGTTTAATTCTCTCAAAATTCCCCCGCCCCCCCAAAAAATATAAATCAGAAAAAGCACGAAACCTCGTCCTAACCACCGAGTACCGAACAACGTTAATGAGATTTCTGAGTAACCGGGTCACTTGGCTTTTTGTCGCCCTTTGTGCCCCCCGTCCCCCTGCCCCGCTATCAGGACAACGGTTGTCTTTGATAAATACAGTCGTTCCCGATAAAGTTCGGCGCGGGCCCACGAGCCGCGAGTATTTTTCAATTAGCGGAAAACAAAGGACGTCCGGGCAATAATTGCAACAAAGCGAAAACAAAAGGAAGCCCGGGAGTAATTGCCCGGCGTGACGGTGCACTCCGCCTCCCTCCCCCCGGGTCTCGCGCTCTCTCTCTCTTTCTGTTTCGATTTTTCCCTTTTTGGATTACTCGCGCGCTGCGCGCTCGACTTTGTGTTCTCCTCCTCCCTCCACCCGTTCGGCGTTATCGGCGCACCCCTCGTCAAAGGACGGATAAATTCGTCTCGAGTGGCGACATTTATGCTCCACTGTGCTACTGAGAAAATGGCTGCCTCGGTTTGGGGGAGGTGTCGCGATGGGATGATTTTTTTCCTCCGCGATCGAGGGAGAGCCGTGACTTTTTAGGGCTTTTGCAAGTTCAGGAGGGAAGTGAACTTTGGAGGGGAATTATTTTTTTTTTTTCAGGATCAACGGGGGAAATGAGAATTTCGGGGATGCTTATGAAGTGGAACGATCCAGTGGAGGCATTGGAAAATGCTCAACGCAATATGGCGCCAGCTTCGAGGGGTGGGCCATCATCCTGGTCGTTCGTAACGAGGGGGCCCCATATCTCCAAACCGCGAATCGGGCGCCATGGGGGGCAACTAATTCCCGGACCGTTTGCCCGGGAGGATTTTTCGACTGTTGCCTTTGATTTCGCGTTCCTACGGCCCATCCGCTTAACGATGTTTGCACAGTTGAAATACCCACCGCGGCCAGTCGGACGTACAACCGAGACAAGGTCTCTGGGGGTCCAGGAATCGAGTAACACCCCAGAGGAAGAGACCCGGATCGTGCGAACCGCGTCGGGCATATTTCATCCCCTCGAAACGCACCCTTCTGCGATTTTCTCTTTTTCCCGAAAAATTCGAGAGTCCAGAGTCGTCCGACAACCACCACGCGAGGATGGTCAACGAATGGCTAGAAGGATTTTCCGTGGAATTAAAGAAGTAATCCGAAGGAGAAAGAGGACGCTAGACGTGGAGGGGGCGGGGGAGAGATTGAAATACGAGGGGAAACGGAGGGACGGGGGGTGGGAACGGCAATTAACTTCTCCTCGCGAGATTAGAACGAGATATTACGAGATATCGAGCGACTTAACGGTAACACGCGAGAGACTTCAAAGGCGGTAATAAACTGCCTCTAATGAACCCCTTATCGCCGTCACCTGCCTCCCCCATCGCCACCCACCGCCACCCACCCCACCGAGGCGTGCGCCCCCCAGAGCGAAGGAGAGAATCGACCCTTCGGGCTAACCTTCGGTTTCCCTGCCGGACCTTCGACCTCTCCCTCTGGGGATAAACCCTCCACCTAATACGAGGTCTCCAGTGAACAACGCAACCGCGGATCCATACGAGAGCAACAACAAGTGGTCGCAACAACGCGCAACGATCGAGCATCGTCGCGATACCAGGTACCACCCACTCTAGGGGTCATCCCGTCTCCGTCAGATATCCCGCGCGACAGGATCGCTGATAAGACACCCAGATCCAAAGAAACGGTAAGACCGCGCCTCCCCTTCATCCGGAGCCTCCGTTCCCCGCCGCGGAGTGGCGCTGGCGCGCACTCAGCCCAGCTCCGTCAAGCCCAATCATGTTGATTCAACAAAGTACCCACCTACCAAATTGCAGGAATTTGGTATTCGGCCAGGAGAGACATAGACGTAGAGAGCGAGAGGGAGTTCGAGGGGGGGGGGGGGGGCACACGGAGAGAGAAAGCGACAGAGGGAAGGTGGCGGCGTTTCGGGGTGCGCGAGGAAGACGGCGCGGGGGAAGGAGGAGGGGGAGGGAATTCGGAGGGGCACCGAAGCGGTCTGATTGCACATCTAGGCCAAACCAGGACCGCGCGACGACGGTCCGTCGGCGCGCTCCAGCGGAAAGCCGCGCGATGATTGGCCGCCCTCCGCGTTCGCCTGTCCCTCCTCTCCCCGTCCCCCCGGCGCAGCCGAAACGCGGGGGCGGGCGGGGGGTGATTGGACGCATCCCGGTGATTGTGGCACCCGGCCTGCTCCCCCGTCCCGCGACGCCGACGCTCTCTCCCCGCGCCCCTTCCCGGCGTCGCGGCGACGGCGCCCCGACCGACCCCCCGACCGCCGCGGGGGCGGCCGCCCCCCCCTACGTCACCCTACACGGCTGTAAATCGAGTTTACCCTCTTGCCGTAGCTCAGCCCTTCAATCAAACTGATTGAAACATTCCTTGAATCCAAAAGAAACGAACTCGTCCCGTGGTGCGCGCGCAGGACCCCTTCCCCCGTCCCCCCCGACCCTCGGTGCACGTGGGGCAACGCGGGGGCGTTGGACTGGGAGGCGCGACACACGCGTGGCTGGGACGACGGGATGTGTGTTTGGGTGTGTATGGGTGAAGATCCTCCGGCTTTCCTCCGGGGTGACTGGGGAAAGCGCCTTCCCCTCCCGGCGAGGAACTTTGATGGATAATTGACAGGCCGCCTTGGGAGCGGCCGGTAATTGAGTAATCGACGGGGCGTTTCTGATAAGCGGGATAAGCGACGGGGTGGGGGGATTTTTGGAGGATGGCGAGAGAGTGGCGCCGGGAAGATGGGGACCTTCGATTCCGTATCGCTTGGGTCTGACCTATTGACGAAACGCCACTGGGAATGGTGCCGACGACACCCCGACATCCCAGAAGAACGGACGGACGGATCGTCGAACGCGGACAGACGTCTTCTGCCCGTCCGTCTATTCCGGGCTGGCCCTAAAGTCCACGTCTGGTTCTCATTAGATCGCCCCCCCCCTCCCCCTCTCTCCTGGCCTCGAATCCTCTAAATTTGGCACGGTAAACCGTCGATTCTCATCCCGAAGGAGACGGACCACTCGCCCGGGAATCGAAGGGAACGCGATCGGTCCGCTCCCGGGCGAACGGATTCTGGATCCTGGGGACCGTTCCGAACGGGTTGGGATAAGTCATGCACGGCATCTCGGGGAAAATCCCCCCGCGTTTGATATACGTTTAATATCGTAAACTGGATTATGCGCGGCAGGTACGGAAAGTGCGCTCCGAAATAGTGACCGGACGAGTCAATTACCGTCGCGCGTGTTCGGCTCCGTGGTCTCGTTTAAGGCATCCCCATCCCGAACGGCGGCTTAGTTGCGAAATATGCGGCGCCGACCTTACCTCGTGTAGTCGCTTTTGCAGAGGATCATGCCGGCCTTGGTGAAGCAGGACTGGCCGATGTCCGCCAAGGTTGCCCCGCAACAAGAACACTTTAGGCAGCTGTTGTGCCAATAGCGGTCCAGCGCATGTAGCAACCATCTTTCCACTATTCTCCCGCCACATCCGGCGCACGGCTCTGCGCTCGTCGGCCCGCGGGGTCCACCTTCTTGCTGCAATCAAGCAAAAAGGAAACCAGCCTTTAGCCAAATCCCGATCCGGCCAGACACACCGATTCGAAACAGCCCTGCGACACGTCGGAGCAGATATAACGTTTTTCGGCAGACCTCGATTGTCTAAAATTATGGGACAATAATTGGCGCGGCGCCCTCCATTTGAAAATTCGGGTTCTACGTCCTATACGTCCAGTCCCCACCCGGAAACCGCAATGCCAGGGCAGGCGTCCGTAAAACCGGAAATCATTACTTTTTCCTTTCAACGCGTCATCCTGACCACCGGTCGACTTTTTATCGCCATGCCCGATACGAAATTCGAGCGCAAGAAAGGACGCCTGAACTCGGTGGATTGTTCCGCGGGCTCCGTTTTCGCGAAGGAATGCGGGATTGGGCGGTTCCCAGTCGCGTTTCTTTGCTTCTGGAATTGATAATTATCTTCTTTTTTTTTTCATTTACTCTTGAAAGCATTCGCAATAAAGGTGCTTACTATCTTGTCCCCGGGGAAGCACTTCATCTGGTTCATCCGAGACGTGATGGCACTGTAGTGATGCGCGTGCACCTCCATGATCCGCGCATCTAGATCGACCTGAACCGGATCAACGCGAACCCTCCCAGGGTCACTTTCGGATTTTCGGACAATGTCCCTACTCTTCCTCGGTATACGAAGATCAACGTGAACTCCACTCGGAGGATCTCGAGAATTGTTCTTGGTGATCAGTTCCGAGATCGGACTCGCGTCGTTCCCTCGAATGGCATCTCGGAAATTTTCCACCCGGATTCGGACCGATTCGACCTGGACGGTATCATCCCGTCGTCATAGCTTCCCGATAGGTCGCATCCAGGAGAATCCGAAGTCTATTAATTGGGTCCCGGGGAAGTGGGAAGACTCTCTCCCGGATTCAACGGCGGACCATAGGAGAAATCCCAACAGGAGCAGTTGGGCCTTCAAACGAGAATGCGTTCCTTCCGGTGACGGAGGACCCGAACACCATCAGCGGAGATTTGGACACAATAATTCTGAACTTTCCACCCAAACGCTAAGCGAGGTTTAGACAAAAGCGGAAGCGTTCGTTCCACTCGAAGGAAGGACTAGGGCAGACTTCCTTCGACCTCTGCTCGAACGGCTCAGTCCGCGGATAATTTCGGTAACGAAACGCGTACACTTTCCCCAACCGCACAAATTAACCGAGCACTGGAGTCCCCTCCCTGCTGGATCCTCCGGACGCTAAGATAATCGGTCCTCGTCCGCTAGGCATCAGCTCCCAAAAACGCGAACCGTTCCCTCGGGCGACACCGAATCGGCCGTCCCACTGACGGTGACGAATTTTTCGAAAGTCTTCGCCGAGAGAGATTTCCTAACCGAGAAGTGGCGGAGCGACCGCGAGAGGCAAGAGAGAACCAGTCCCGACCGAAGTCAGGACCCAACTGACTGGTCGGTCCGCTTCGGAGCCGACCCAGGTCTTTGGGCCTGAATGCCTGGCGGGCCCCTGGGTTCAGGTACCCTGGTGGGGTCTGGTGGGCCCTCGCACCGGAGTGGGGGCATAAAAAGACCAGCCTAGAAAGGACCTAACTAACGCTCAAAGGGGAAGATTCCGGGCGCCCCACTCCTCGAGCCAGCCGACCCCTGTGCCGAACTCCCTCTATTCAATTATATTTCTCCACGGTAAATGCCCATATTGTTACGTTTGTCAATGGCCGCCTAAGTGAGGGTCGCATTCGTCGGGGATAATGCCGGCTGAATTCCGGTCGGTTCGACCCTCGGATGGCATCCCTTGCACGGAAACCGACCCCCGGGCACCGACACAAGGGACGTCCCGGACTATGGACTACCGCGGTGTCGCTGATCCTGGAAGAGGACACTCCTGGGCACATCTGAGAAGCCGATGGAGTCCCTTCCGGGAACAGCCGCGCCTCGCGCCACCTCCGACGCGGATGAAAAAACGAGGAAGCTGGAAAATTCCCCTTGAGCACCGGACAATGGGATTTCTTTTTAATTAATGCGCAATAATTAGATACATCCTCGGCGATGCGTAAATCATGGCGCTTTGGCAGGACCACCGCGTACAAAAAAGATCCGTCGCAACTTCCGGCAGGGCCCAATTAGTCCAGACTTTTTAGGTCCCTCCCAGGGTTTCATTTAGCGGAGTAGCGACAGATGTTGCTTTATCGGCCCATGGTAATGGGACCACCGCACCCGCCGAGTGCAAAGCGGTACGAAAATCGTGTCCTCACCTTGATGGTGCAATTGTTGTTGTGATTGACGGGCGGGTAGGCGGGGTGGCCGGGGTGGTGATGAGGGTGTCCCGGGTGATGGGGATGATCGGTCATCATGCCCCCGGCCCCGTGGTGGTGCCCGTTGCTGCCGAGCCCCTGGGCCCCCGGTAAGGACGCGTAGGGGGCCCCCGAGTCCGAGGGGGCCCCGTGGGGCGGGGAGTGGGGGCTGGGCAGGTCGGGCGTCGTTGTGGTCCCCCCACCGCTAGCAGTGCCGTAGCCATGGTGGGCCCCGCCGCCGGGCCCGGGGTGGTGGGGACTGCTCGACAGCGACGGGTGGTGGGGATAGGCTGCGGGGTGTCCCGGGTGGTGGGGGTTCATCCCGGCGGTAAGGGCGCTCGCCAGCTTGACCAATGGGGTGGGCGGGCCGCTGGAGCCCACCACCTACGCGCCACAGGGGAAATCGGGGTCGCCCTCGGGTACTCGGGGCCCGGGGCCGAGTCGACCTGGGGCCACCTAGGGCCCGGGCGCCTTCACGAGCGGGGCCCGACCGAGAGGCCTCGCCGGGACCACTTCCGGCTTCGGCGCGGAATCTGAAAGCAAAAAATTTCATCTTTAGTTTTCCGACTCTTGGGACTTCCGTTTCGGGCGAAAAAGATGAAGATTTATATGATAATTGGTATACTTCAATTAATTTCATTCGATTTTATATGTTAAACAATGCGATTCGGGAAGAGGGTACGTTCGGCCTTCAAAATTGTGATAGTATTTCGGTGATTCGGTCATGATTTCGAGGGTTAAAATCCATGTTCTAGTCTGGAATGAAATACGTCCTCGAGCCTGGGTTATCCACGGTATTGCCAGAGAAATATTTAAATCCAATCCGGAAGACGTTTCCGCAATAAATGTAACGAATCGAGACGAGAACGAGAGCGTACGCGGCGGTAAAGTTTCCGCGGGACTAGATCCCCCTGTCCCTCGACTTCCGGTTGTATTGCGCACTTCCGGAGGCGGAGGGATAAGACGCATCCGTCGAGGAGGGTTCCTAGGGAAAATGGCGGACGCGGGGGTGTTTCGCTAGTAAAACCGACGTTTTACGAGTATTGCATACTACTACTTTGCTCGCCCTACCCCCCGAGCCTCTCCCCTTTATCCACTCTAATTAAGCATTCTATTGTTTTAATTATACACCCCCGGCCCCGTTTCCCCTTCCCTTCCTCTCGCTACAGGACTGTATTGCCGCCATCGTATGCAGCCCCGTAGCAAAAGCCGGATGCACGGGATACAAGGACCGGTGGTATTGAAATACCTGGCGGAAGAGGCATTCCTCCCCACCATCGGCTGCTCGAAATGCATTCCTGCTGGACGCTTTACTTCCAAAATTCGTCGGAAAATTCCTCGACATTTTTGGGAAATCGACGATTTACCCTGGGAACTACTTTTCATCGCCGTCGAATTTAGGTTAAGGTTCCTCGATGTCAAGGATGATCGCGGGTCTCGATTCCAGGGCTGTCGTTTGGTTTCATCGAGAGGGACCAAGGGAACGCATTTTTCGGGGGGACCAATCGCGTCGAGGCGATCGCTCGGTCGGATCGATCCGACCAATTGGACGGCGCGAGAGCGGCTCCAACGGAAACGTCCAAGGCCCATGGAGGCCATTGTAAGGGCCGAACAAAGCTCGCTCTAATTACTCGGCTTTATGATCTTTTCCGGCGTCCAATCAGATTTCCTCATTTCCCTCGACCCACTGGAAAGTAATCTCATTAACTCGGCCCCTGCCCCCCCTGCAGCCCTCCGGCTGCCTCGTTTCCCATCCCAAGCCCTCCGAGTGCGTTCCCTTCCCCTCTCCCCCTTCCTGAATCGCTGGATTATTCCTAGGGAAAAACTGGGAAACAACTGGGCCAATTGTTAGGACCCTAATCGGTGAATTTCTGTCGAGGGTCCTGCCCCCTGATAAGGATTCATTAGTCAACCGATAAGAGCCTCGTAAAGTGTTCGCGTTGAACGGGCGTTTTTCCCTTCATGAGGATGAATGTCAATTATATCTAGAATGCAGATTGATGGAGGCTCCTTAGTTTCGTGATAAGAGTCCGAAGATACGCTCGAGGAATATTTTTTCCTCGTAGGAGAGCTTTAACGGAATTATGGCTGGGGATGTCGGGGTTAATCGTGGTCCTTCTATTGGGAGGATTTAGTAAAGGCGATTGCAGTTTCGGAGAGGACTGCCTCTTGGTGTTATTGGTTTAGAAGGTATGCCGAGGTGAGAAGGTCTTTAACCTCACCAGCACTACCGACATCTACATCCTGTTTGGGCTTTTTTAACTTGAGCTACTTGAACTGGTATGCCAGCAAGCTGCTACCTCCAATCAGGACTCGAGGCTCGCCGCGCTAATTTCACTGTTAATTGTTAACTGTTAACCGGTAATTGGACTACGCAGCTCGAGGGATGCGCGATGTAGCAAAACCTGGGAATTTCAGAAATTCCGCGCGTTTTCTCCCCGTTACCCAGCTGGACGTTCAGTTCCGAGCGATGCTCGAAGGGGTCTTATTTTAGTCGGCGCCATTTTGGATTTTTAGTCCCGTGGGAACGGCACTAAATGGGGAAAGGAGAAACAACACAAAGCGAGAAACATATTTAATTAAACGCCCGGCAAGAAATCACTCTTTGCGGTCATAAATCAGAAGAAATGCCGGGTACGTCGAAACCGAGCCTGCAAGTACGCCAATAAAATGCGCTTAGACGCTTAATTACTGGCCGGGAACATTAATTGCACGTTGTCGCGCGACACCCGAGTCGCTTGTTCGCGAGTTATGTCTCCCGTATTCGGCTGAGCACAAGAAGCGACAAAAAGGGGCCGTGAAAATGGCACTTTTGAGCAACGCTCGGTTCCAGCCATTAGCGACGCCGCGAAGAACGCCGATTGAAGTAAATCCCGCTGCAGGCTGTCCCGACACTAATTATCGATTAGTATTAACTGCTCGTCGTTGCTGGAAAAATGTTCGAGTAGATTTGCTTGCACGTAAAGTTTCCGGCTTTCCGTTCGGCACGAGAGGTGACAAAAACTCAGCCGTGAAAATCGCGCATTCGAACCGTTAGCGAAGCGAGTGATGAAAAAGCGGCCAATTAAATAAATAAATGAAGAAAAAAAAAAAGAAGAAATCCCTCGCAACGTCGCGCGAAAAGTCCATTATTTGTAATTGGAAATTTATGCGAGTAGCGGTCCACGTCGGGCCTAAGGAGGGTGACTCGCGGCTAATAACATAAGTTCAATCGCTAATTATCGATCGGCGGGCATTAATTGCATGTTGTCGCGAGCGAGATGCTCGAATCGCCCGAACGAGTTATGTCTCCCATGGTAAATTGAACGCGAGAAACGGAGGGAAAAGAGAGAGAGGGAAGGCAGGGAGACGTCGATGCAACTCGATAAGCAAGATGGTAAACTGCAAGGCGATAAACGCGTCAAGACCGAGCCGCAAAATTCAATATTAATTGATACCCGCCATCGGCTTATTGGCCGCGAGCTGACGCTGCAGCAAGTATAGACAAAAAGTCAATACACTCGGTCTGATTTAAATCTCTTCCGGGTATCTAGAAATCAAGGCTCCACGTCGCTTAATTGACGGGGCTAATTTAATTAGTTGTCGTTTGAATTACTTCCGGGTGTATCGGGAAATCGAGGTCTCGCTGCGGATTAAATTCACGGGAATGCCAAGAGTCCGTAATAAATCCCCCCGACTCGCAATTGTTTACAATACAATTTTTCACTCCCATCCCGTGGAACATCGAGTCTTCCGAATTTCGGCTTTACTTGTACTATTTCCGATTTTTTCATACACGGGCACAGTTATTTTTCCAATTGTTTCCGAGTAACGAAACGTGACGAGCATTGCGTCGAAACGATTAACGGCGGAAACCAAGATGGCGGCGCTCGCGGCTCCGATAGACCCGATAACAAGACGATATAATACCGGGACACACACGGTCCGGTAATTACCGCGAATGATAATGGCGACGATGATCGCGGGACGATAAGCGATAATTAACGATCGCGATCGAGCGCCGAAAACGAGGACGGCGAGGGTGACAATGGCGATAACGAGAGAGGCCAGCGATGTTATTAGCGATAAGCCGGCGATAACGGGAAGGACGTATCGCCGACGCACGCCAGTTACGATCCGCAAATTGACACGAGCTGTCATGGGCGGAACCGCCGCTAATTGCGCGCGCTTAGTCGGACACGAAGAATAGGGTCGATTTCCCAAAACGGTCCAAACGGCATTAACGATTCCGTTTGGCCCCTCGATAGGCCCATCCGATGATAGCACATCCATTCAGCGACAACGCTCCCACCCCGAGGCGATGATAAGTAACGAAACAACAGTCGTCCTATACTTCATTGGGTACGAACCCCAAAACCAGGCAGGAAAGCAGGAAACGAAGCAAGGAGGAGGTCTCTTGGTCGAGTTCCTGCGGACCCCGAGTAAAGAAAGAAGAAAAAAAAAAAAAAAGATGGAAATTTCGCAGCCCGTTAACCAGGATTCCCCGCTGATCCCGCGTCCCTAGGCGTCCCTTGCTCCCCGATGTGATTCCCCGAAATGGCCCTCGGGGGTATACGCCTTTTCATTTGGGCCTCCCACCCCCGCGTGCCGGGGCCCTCTTTAAGTAGGGGTCCGTCGGTCCCAGCCGCCCCCCCGGCGGCCCTGGGCCGGGGCCGCATATAATTACTATAATCGCTTTCACCAATAATTAGATTATTTTCAGTCCTGTCTTCCAGCTTAGTCCCCTCGACTGGTCATTATATCCGTGCCGAAGTTATCATTACCCGTGCACCGATTCCCTCCAATTTTTTATCTCTCGGGCCCGTCCCCTCCAGGTGCCCCCTCCGCGTCGTTTCGTCCCTTCTCGCTCCCTGTTCCCCGGGGCCCTCCGTCGGGCCCCGTCTTGCCTCTTCGAGCGTTTATTACGGAAAGCAAATCTTCCGACCGGAGCCGGAGGTACCCGCGCATGCGCCCAAGAGGCGTTATTACAAGATACAAATGCTTTATTTTATTGTTGGTCGGCCAGTTGCCTCGGAATGCCTGAACCATTCCTCCGCGGAGTATCGTTGAGCAAGGGGGAGCTAGGGGGGGCAAGGGTACGGGAACATTTTGTAGGCACTACTTTATGCTCCTCTCGTCTACCCCCGTCCTCCCCCCGTTCCTCGCCGTCTCTCGGGATATTTCTCCCCGCTTTGAAGGCTTTCGGAAACGGATAGGAGGGAAGCAATGACGCGGGACCGAGCCCCGTTGCTTACGGAGGTGATCCTGGAGGGAATCGGTGACCGGCGTCCTAACCGCGCTCATTCAAGGCGATCCGAACGGTGCTGGATAACCTCCCCTCTTGGTGGGGTTTGGATCAGGGGTTGATCCTTGGATATTATCGGTGGTCGGCGTACCCTGCACCAGGAGCTGGGTACCTCTGGAACCTCGGCATCCAAGTTTCCCCCGGATTTTCTTGGATCGACGAAACGCCAGGGCGTCGTTAATTCGGGCTCGTCGTCGATCATGCGAGGGTCCGGGCGCGATACTCGTCGGGTCCTTGGCCAGGGCGCAA